AGAAAAGTATGCAAAATTTAGAATCTTTTGTGAGCCTGGAGTTGGTTATCCATTATAATTAAGCATGGTAAGAAATAATCGTTACTTTAAAAGTAATATATATTTATTAAGGAAAATTTGAATACAGAAAAGGAGGCAAAAGGAAAAATCATCAATAATCCTACTACCGAAACACCTTTGTTGTGAACATTCTGATATATTTCTTTCTGATCTCTTTCCTTTGGGTAGGGAGGAGCTTGTCTTTACATATGGTACCAGTCGTACTGTGCCTCCAGTTTTGTTCCCTGTTTTCACAGTGTTCTATCTCAGGCTTCAGTTGACTTGCTGCCTGTTTATTTCCTTGAGTGTGCACCATAATTTATTTAGGCATTCTTATCTTGTTTATTTCCCTTTATGGTTATTTCCATTTCTTGTTTTTGTTTTTTTTAAAACTATTTTTTAATGTTTTTATTGATTTTTTTAGAGTGGAGGAGGGGGAGAGAGAAAAACATCAGTGTGAGAGAGAGACATCGGTTGGTTGCCTCCTGCACACGCTCTGACTGGGGCTCAGGATTGAGCCTGCAACCAAGGTACATGCTCTTGGCTGCAATCGAACCCTTCAGTCCTCGGGCCATTGCTAACCACAGAGCTGACTAGGGCGTTTTTATTGCTTTTTAGAGAGAGAGGAAGGGAGAGGGATAGAGAGAAACATCAAAGGTAGAGAAACATCATCAGTTGGCTGCCTCATGCTTACCCCCTACTGGGGACCAAGCCCTCAACCCTGGCATGTGCCCTGACAGGGAATCTAACCAGTGACCTCTCGGTGCATGGGAAAATGCTCGACCAACTGAGCCACACCAGCCAGGGCTGCATGAAGCTTTTTGAAAACATTTGTATTTCTTTCTTTCAGTTCCTTGAAGTGAAATTAATGGGTGAAAGTGTGTGACAGTTTGAGATATTATACCAAATGCTGTCCAAAAGGATTGAACCTCCTTTGCTGTGGCCACAGGTGTCTGAGAATGCCCTTATCACCAAAACAGCACTGCTCTGCATATTTCCTTTTTGAATTTTAGAGATGTTGTCCATGTCTGATAGATCCATAATCTGGCCACAGCTTACCTGACATAGCTCCTGGTCACCAGCCCTGAGTCCTTTTCCCTCCCATTCTCCTTGTCCCTGATGCTGACGCAGCCCAGTCTTCAGGTCCTATTAGATCTGACTTCCTGACTCATCTCCAGTCTGTCCCTTTCTCCCTATTCACCCAGCAAGAATGAGGTCAATTTAGTGTATAGATGTTTCCTAGCTCTGTGACCTCCCCCTGCCACTTTGCCTTCTCTCCAGAAGACCTAAGGTCTCTGTGGTAGCTTCCCACTTTAGCTGATTCTCACATCTTTCCTGTCTTTCCCTTGTGCTCTTCTCTCCCAGTTCTACAGCGAGTCGGGCATGCCTACCAAACACCTCTCGGACAGCATGTGTGCTGTGTGTGGGCAGCAGATCTTTGTGGATGTCAGTGAAGAGGGCATCATCGAGAACACGTACAGGCTGTCTTGCAATCATGTGTATCCGCCTGGAGCTCCTGGGTCACATGCACACTGCAGTCAGGGAGGGAAGGGGGCGTGCTGCCCCGACCTTTGAGTGTAGGAGTCACAAGAGGGCAGACATTTGGGTGATGTACCATTAGAGAAGCCGACACCCAGGAGTAGAAGCTGCAGCCTTCAGAATCAGATCCCCCTGAATAACCCTCTAAGATTTGTCATGTACTTACTCAGCTCCCATTCTGTGCCATGTATTATATTGTCCCTATTTTGCCCCCTAACAACCTTGTAAGGTAGTTATTCTCACTTCACTTATGAGCAGATAGTTTCAGAGAGAAGGGACTTGCCCAAGTTTATACAGCAGATAAGAGGTGAAGCCAGCCTTTGAACCTTTCTCCAGAGCTAGTGCACGGGCACCTTAAGACCGACACAGAGCTGGGTGCCAAGCTGGCTGCCCACCAGTATTTCCCTTGACCAGTGGTGCTCAGATTCCACGAGTTCTGCATTCGCGGTTGGTGCATTGTGGGAAAGAAGCAGACGTGTCCCTACTGCAAAGAGAAGGTAGACCTCAAGAGGATGTTCAGCAACCCGTATCCTTTGTTTGGGTTTTTTTTGGGAGTGGGCAATGGGAAGAAAGCACTGGCCAATGTGACCCTGCATTTGTGTCCTCCTGGGGCCCTCCCTCCTCCCCCCAACCTGGTACATGTCCTCCATTCTATTTGGCCTCGGGTCTAAGAAAATTGGGGGTGGAACATAGGGCAGGACTAACACCTCAGCTTCTCATCATAGCTCTGGAACCTTCAAGTCTAAGTTGGTTGTTTTAGCAGCTACCACTTCCTGCTTGTTTTACTGTGTTCCTGGTACTGTTAAGTGCTCTACTCATGTTAATCTCCCTTGATCCTCTAGCAACTTTATGACCTGGGTAATAGTCTCATTTTACAGATGAAACAGCTAAGATGTTGAATAACTTATTCAGGGTTACATAACTAATGGATGGTGATGCCTTATCTATGACTTGCAGGGCTGGAGACCAACTGTGCAGGGTCTGTAGGTGCAGGGATGGCTGAGGGATTCCCTATTCCCATCCACTATCAACACAGGACTTGTGCTTCTCTGAGCTCCCACTTCCTCCCTGCCAGCCTTCCCTCCTCACTGTCCTCACAGCCTGTCTGTTGGAAAGTGCCCAGCCACTTCTCTGCCCGCCCCCTTCACTCTGGGACTCAGAGACCCAGCTTTCTCCCCTTTCCTCCCAGCTGCCCTTTCTCTCTATTCCCTGAACACTAGCTGGGCTGCATGGGAGCCACTGCATTCCCAGTACATTTGCACAGTCCCTGGACAGGAGACCGGCCCTTTTAGGTTCCTTGCTTGGTTCTTGCAGGGACTAGTTTAGGAACAATTAAGTAACACCGCGGTCAAGCTAATGGTTGGGGCTCCCCTTAATTCTCAGAGACTAGGCCAGGCTGCTCTTTCTGATGCCTTTCAAGAGGATCCACCCCAGTCTCAGGAGGTCAGCCTGTGTTTTCCCCAGACCTGGAATCCCAGGCTCCCTTTCCAGGTGTCTTGCCAGTGTTTACCTGTAAAATGAAAGGAACTTATCTCCAGAGCCCTTTGGCCTCAATAGGGCCTGGTGCTTAGTGCCTCTGGGTGGAGATTCCTTTGGGCCTCTGCCAGGGCTTATCCCCTGTGACTCGCTCTTGTTCCCTTCTGCCTCTGTCCCTAGACTCATCCTCTTCTTTACCTCAGCCTTCCAATTGGACATTAAAAGAACCTTCAGGTTACCTTATTTAACTCCCAGCTTCCCTATAGCCATTGTCACAGGTATATTTACAACAGTCTCGGGCCATGTTTTTTTTACATCCTAGAGAAGTTGTTCCATGGTCGACCCTCCTTGCATGTCAGTCATGGAGAGCTTAGTTCCACTTCTCCACTCCCATATGCACTGGCCCCTCTGTCCTCCTTTCCCTGCTCTCTGGATTCAGTCCTTTGTTTCAACATAGAAAGGCTGTCAGGGCTTTCTAGAAAGCAGCTGGAAAGTGTGGGCAGTCCCAGGGAGGATGTGGGCAAACCCTCTGACCATCCCCTAGACCAGCCTTATCAGCTTTGTGCACAGCCTCTTTCCTTTAACACACTGGCAGCTGGGAGAGGCCCCACGTCATGTACGGGCAACTGCTGGATTGGCTTCGCTACTTGGTAGCCTGGCAGCCCGTCATCATTGGCCTGGTACAAGGCATCAACTACATCCTGGGCCTCGAATAATCAGGCAGAAGAGCATCCACCCACCATGGACCTCAGGGCACACTCCTTCCTGCCCTTCAAGACCTCTTGGGTGGGAAAGACTCAAAGGGGCACTTGGGCCACTCAGGACCCTTCTGGCTGTGTCTGGGCAGGGGAGGGTTATGATGGTGAGCTGGCCAGTGGGGCTGTCAGCAGTGGGGGCTTTTTAAAAGAAAACTATTTTGATGAATATATTTAAAAACCTTTTTTATTGTGGAGCATAGGAATTGCCCCAACTCCTCCAGGCCTTACCCTCCCTGCTTGAGCAGGGCGGGAGCAGAGTTGAAAACTTTTTGAGTTAAAGGAGCCTTCTCGCCTCTGGCAGAGAGCCTCAGCCCACCCCCTTCCCTTCGTTCCCTCATTGGGGCTCAAGCCTGGCACACCCAGTGTGGAAGAGCTGAAGCCCTCTGACCGGTGCCACAGATGAGTACTGTGTGGTGAGGTGTCTTCTATCTTCCCCTGTCCAGGAGCCATAGGCTGGTTGAGGCAAGTGGAACCTTGTGACTTTTCCAGCGAGGGAAGCCTTGGGACCTCAGAATGCACTGAGGATTTGTTTGGGGGCAGCCAGAAGCAGGAGCAGTTTGGGTGACCTGCCCTGAGCAGGACTGTACTCAGCCAGGAACGGAGGCCATGGGGGATGCAGTGATTGACGGCCCCTTGTGCCCGGAAGTCGCCATATGTGCCATAGGCCATTCTGCCACATCACTTCCTTCCCTAAACGCCTGAGTGACAGTTTGTGTGCGTAAGTCTGAATGAATGCGGCAGAGGGACTGTGACACATGTGAGACTGTTCCCTTGGAGCTGGCAGGGGATTCCCAGCCAGGGAGTATCCCTACGTCAGCCTTGTCGTTTGCTAATCTTGCCTGGCCCTGGCAGTGGGAGTTGGGGTGTGTGGGAGGAGGATAAAGGTGAGTATAGCTTCTGAAAAGGGGTTCCAGGGAGGCCCCAGCCCTAGTCCTAGGACCTTTGAGGATGTGGGAGGGTAAACATGGGCCTTCCACACTGGGCTCGTAGGAGACGTGGCCCAGCTGGGCTGAACCCTTCCAGGGCAGCAGGAACCAAGAAAGGTCTTGTCACTTCGTTTTGAATAAAGCTCCATGAGCTGGGTTGGAAAGCTGAACATCATCTTGCTTTTCTTCTTCCCACCTCCTTCCCTGGGGTCCCCAGGGATGCCTTGCCTTGGCTGCCTTTTGCTGCTCCTGATTGAGAGCTGAGGCCCTGGGGGTTGGCCCTGCTCAGCATCCCTGGGAGTGGTGGAATGCCAAGCTCCTTTCCTGTGGCAGAAGGGGCCCTGGAGCATCACTGGGTAGCTGTGTCCTCACCACCTGAGGTCAGTGCCCTGCCACCACCCCTTCTCAGGGCCATTCTCAGCTGTGGCTTCCCACAGTCTCCCCTCTTTTCATGCCTATCCTCAGAGTGGACTGGGGGCTGGAGGGGGGCTGAAGGGTCCAGGGATCACCCTTTCACTTGTGTCCCCCAATCCCATCAGGCTCATGTGAGAAGCTGAGGCCAGGCTGTCCAAGACTCTTCATATTTCACCAGTCCTGAGTCCCGTGACCTCCTAGTGGCCCAACTCTGGTCTTGCTGACACACTGAAGTAGATCCTATCCTATCTCCTTTCTCTCTTGTCCCCACTCCTATCCTTGAAAGGACTCTCTCAGAGCCCTGGGCAGCCTTGCCTCCTGACTTAACTGCTGGGGTGCTGGGAGGAGTTTCCCTCTGTCCTGCAGCCTAGTACCTCCTGGGATAGGAGGTAAGGGAAGGACTGAGAGTTGGAAATGTGAAGTAGAGCCCTGGAGAACAGAATGTGTGACTTTGTCCCCTGTATTTAAATTAGGAATATGAGTCTGGTATCCACACTAGTAAAACCCCATTGGAATTGCAGCAGACAATGTTCCTGACATCCTCTAAAGCCAGTTCTGTGTCCTGGCCTCCGTCCCTTTTTCCCCATCCCCCTGAACCTACTGACCACAGAAGTCACAAACATCAGTCACTCAGGTTTTGTCCTTCACACTTGGTACATACATACATTGGATCACCAGTCCTGCTCTTTCTACCTCCCTTACCCTGACAGTGGGTAGCAATTTTGCATCCCAGGTGCCTTACCTCACCCTGGTCCTGGCTTTGCCACAGTTTCAGCTCCATTTGTCCCATTGGCTACCAGACTCGTGTTGTTCAAGCCAGTGAGCCAGTTTCAAGTTCTGGGCATGGCTCTGCAAGGTCCTGCAGAGAAGCTGAAATGCGCTCAGCGCAGTTCCCGTGGCATGGCTCAGTCGGACCAGGCAGCGGAGTGGAACTGCGGAGCTCTGAGAAGGGTGATTCTGAAAAGCAGGGCTCTTCAGGCTTCTTGGGAGCCAGGTTGGGGGAATCTAGACTTCCTGGGGAACCTAGACCTGTATCTCTGGCCAAGGGGCTGGGATGAGAGAGGTGAGAAGAGTTCATTGTGGTTCTGGGTGGCTGTTGGCCTAGTGGTTGGGGGAGTGGAGAGCCTGAGAAAGATCTGGGTGTGGGTGGGCTGCAGTGACATTGAACATGAAATGGTCAAGTTGATCCAACACATTAGGGTCCGCAGTGCCTAGGAGAGTTGTCCCCTTGAATATCAATGTGATTGTGAAAGAGGAAGCAGGAGGCCTGCTCAAATAGGAGCAAAGATGGATACTAAAGTTCTGACCCTTCGCTGGGATGGAAGAGTTGATCTGCGAGAGACTCTTTGATTAGTTCATACTAATGTGACCCTGGGAGGGTGAGGATATGGGTGGACTAAAGACCCTACCCAGGCTGATACTGGTTGGAGAGTAGGAGGTATTAGGAAATAGCAAGAAGGTTCCTGGCCACTGTGAGTAGTATCCAAGAGCCTGCTTGATCCCCTGGTTAGAATCATAGTGAAAGTGAAATAGAGACCAGTGCTTTCCCAGAATGATTTCATTCGATCCTGTCCTTCCCAGAACCAGCTCCAGCAGTGAGGAGAGCATTGTCTCCCCTTGTGACTAGGTAAGTCCCTGGCCCCTCTTTTGGCCTCAGTTTCTCTGTCCCTATACGGAAGAGGTTAGGCTGGACTGAAAACTAGCATGTTAATGGTGATAAGAGCTTGGGTGTGGAAAGACTGTCCCTAGGTGACCGGCTTTGTTTCTAAGGCTGAAGAGCCTCTGCCACATGCCTGCCTTCCAGGAGCTACTGGCAGGGGCCTGGTAGTCCACTGCAAGTTAGACCTAGGGAGGGGCTGTGGGATCTACAGGAAGGAGGGGGCCACACGTGGCTGGGATCTAGGCCAGCCTCTGAGATGTGGAGAAGTAGTTACTCACCATTCTCATTCCTGCCTGCCCCCAAAGAGGAAGAGGTCATTGCACACATATATAGAGCCAGGCACTCCAGCTCCTGGCACATCATGACTGCCAGACAGAACTCAACACCAGGTAGGACCTGGGTCTGTGCATGGGGGCCAACGAGGGAGGGAGGGG